AGGAGGCGATAGAAAGTCCGAATAGCTGAGACCAAAGGAAATAGAAAACAAATACGGAAAACTGTCATTCTGTAGCACCACCAGTTACTTTCGCATATACATACGTAGTGTATGGAAAGTTCTGTAATACTGCGGAAAATCGACTTCGAGATTTCAACGTAAATACACGTTTTGGATCCCCCTGATACCGAAAAAGTGTTTTTTCGAAACGTCCGTCAGTGAACGTTACTAACGCCTAACCCATACATAGGACATTTTTCCAAATTGAAGATAGCCCTGTCCATTGGCCTCGAGTCGAACCTTTGAGATTTTGAAAATTATTCTTTAAAATTTGGGGGTACTTTACATGAAGTCCCTCGGACATTTTCAAAACATTCTTAAACACGGCTCCATATTTTCTATTATGTCTTGTAAGAAGAGAGTAACATACACTTTTAAAAGTGGCGTAGGTCCGATTTTCACGGTTACCTCTGAAAATTTGAAAAGTATGATTTTTTTTCGGTGTCTTCCTACAACACCATAATTAAATATATAGATTTTCCTTCAAAGAACATTACCATTTAGGGCGAGGCTTTACTGTTCTTTAATATTCTTAAAATAATATTTGCATTCTATAAGGAAACCAAAAAATGAAGAAAATGTTTAAAAAAATGTAGTTTTGGCGGCGATAGATGGCAGCTTCAAGAGCATGTGGCAAGTACGAATAGCTAGGAACCGAGGTGCATATAATATGGACCTTGGGCTTAGCTTTCACACAAAAAGTCTTTAAGATCCACAAAAGTTTAGTGCCTCATACTTATTATGATGCTGTGCTTGTACTACATGTTCAGGCAATGCAACCGACAAATTATTTATTGAGAGCAATGTTCATTTGTGGGTTGTTTATATTGCTAAAATAGTGAAAATGTAAAATGCGAATTGCGAAGATTGGCGAAATGTACTATCTATTATCGACTTGAAATAACCATCCAAGGTATCTTGCTTCAAAGCAGAACTCTACTTTTGTCCCGTTTGCTCTGAGTGTGCTATAATTTAACATTCCTGATTTTTGGGAACAGTAGGGCATCTGAAAAAGCTCTCTCTCCTGAGCCTTTTGTCTAGTCCACTATCGGACCCAACTTTGTTATTGCGAAATTACAACCACAGTATACGTATTTATACAGTAGTGCAGCGGTGTTAAATGTACTATGAGCAGTTGGTCAGTGACTGAAGTGATCTGCGCAGCGATCAAGAAATATTACGCCAGCTTTACAATTTGTAATACAGCATCGTTCTGTTAATCTAATAAAAAAAGTAAATGTTTTAATATATATTTTAATTTCCTTACGCGTATAACTAAAACATGTGAAGTACAATTTTTGATGAATTTTTTTAGGAAAGAAATGATTTATATCTTATGAATATTGTTCTTTGGAAGTAAACAGAGAATCGTGATGAACAAGTAAAAGTTCTATACTGTTCATGAAAATATAGATATGTACATAATCTAAGTAGTAAATATGGGCTACTAGGAGGTAATGACATTTGTCAAAAGGTAATAATAAATTTCCGTCTTTCTTTCATATATATACTCTGTGTAGGTCTATGAGAATAATTAAAAACAACTTAGGGTTCTTTTCATTACTGCTGCATGTAATTGCAGAACATTGCACGCCTTTTGATATACGCATTGTTATTAATGTGTTAACTGAAAAAGTATAAGAGTTCAGTTGGTGCATATAAAAAAATGTTCCAATACATGTCAAATGTTAAAACGTTTGTGCAAGGTAATTTTACGTGTTATTTAATTACTTGCTCCTGAAATCCTAGGACTATGAAGACACGAGGTCAAGAAATAATACTAATTTTCTTGTAAGTTTTTATCCTGCTCTTAATAAATGCGATTTCACAACCAAATCCGTACACTTCAGCAGTATCCACCCGTGGTTTTACTTATCCTCCGCCACATTCGCCACCTGTATGCGCACGCATCCGTAACTATAAAAACGCAACGAGCGGTTTTCATAAGAACTGAGTTAAGCTACCTGATTTTGTGCCTTCATCATCATCATCATCAATAGCAGTAGTAGCTTAGAAGTTGCAGCTTAGTAGAACTTGCTGAATGACACTGCACAAGGCACATTATAAATCCTTAAGACACCGGACTTCCCTTCTAATATGCCATTTCTACCAATGTAACGTGCGTAAAGTAAATTTGATTTTATTATATTTTAACTAACATGTGTTATTTTATATTTTTAATGTATCCCAGTCCGAAATGTTGCAAAAAAAGCTGAATAAATAATGTTAATAAGATGCTACCTGTATAAATGTGATTGTCTATAAATCAGAGAATCTATTTTAATATTAAGATAAAAATACAATAACATTACTTTAGATTTGTCATTTTTTTTCTTATGAAATGAACACTGATGTAATAAACTGGAATTGTGTAACACCTCTTAACAAAGCCATTAAGCCAACTTTGGTCTCCTGACTGATAAACAAATACACTATTTGAATTCAAGATTAACAATTAATATATATAGATATAAATAGTGAAAAGGAACAGTGCAAATTTCAGAAGTGCATGATCTTGCTGTTTTGCACTAGTGCAAAACAGCTACCAGTATTTTGCAATTAGTTTAATTAAAGAGTTGTCATAAATAAAATTTTACTTTACATTACTGCAAATAGCAAAATTAACCCTGATGATCGCTTCCTACATTTTCATAATTAGGTGCTAGATTTATGAAAATGCATATTTTCTCCAGCAGAAATTATGCTCACTTGGCATGCACATGAAAAATCAAATTATTGAAACATTATTTTATGATGCACATCTTACATAGTTTGCTGTTTTCATTACATGTATAATATTTTTTAAACTTAAATACTTATCACCATTCATTGATATTTAATAAATTATTTTTTTTCTCCTTTTTTAATGAATATTTATGTACACTCCAAGTTGTTCATTATACCTAACATGAATTTCCTGTGTGTGAATTGTGGGTGTAGGAAAATCAGTGGGAATAGGAAAATCAGTGTCATTTCAAGAATTACTTGCTGTCAATTTCATTTTGGAAATTGGTAACACTGATGAACAAATACAAGTAAGTTGACCTCCCATAAGAGGTTTTACTTAAAAATGAAAGTGATCTACGATGCAAAAAAGGAAATTTCCTATTCAACATGGTGGCTGACATGAAGTTCCCAGAATTGTATTTTGATGAAGTTGTAATGCTAATTGTTAAATGTATGTAACATTGTGGAAACTCTTCTACATAATAATATCATTCTTTGAAATTTCATTGAGCAGTAAAGTAAAAGTAAAGTGCTGGATGAATGTTTGTATCTTGTGTACTAATTATGAGAAACAGCGTTTATAATGGGTTAATACTTCATAGAGCATATTTTAGTGTATATTTTTTGAAGTTTTTACTTCATAAACACATTCATATTTCATAGAATACGAGAGCAGATAAATCCGGTTCCTACTCATACCACAGCCAAAACACCAGCCAATTTTTGTTGGAACATGCAACGGCTTAAATTTTGACAGGTTTTACTATGCAGTAATTATTGATAATTAAATATGTGCATTTAGTAAGCTTAAAAATGAAATATTTGACTCACTTCTTTTGGAAGTTCAGTGGTGATATTACTGACAGGATAAATAAGATGAATACTATAGAGTATCTATGAAAGAGACCATCACATGATTTTAACAACACAGACTGAAGATTGTAAAATAATACCTTTTAAATAATAGTTTATATAAGTAATCTGCAGCAGTGTATGAATACTGGTGTTTAATATCAGCATTTATAGCGATTTTAGATTTTAGCACTTCAAATAAAAAGAAATAACATTTTGAAAATAACGCTAGAACGTTTTTTAGCATTATGAAAATTAAAATTTAGCATTTTGTAGTATTTATTCATATTATTATTATTATTATTATTATTATTATTAAGGGGAGGCAAACTAAAATTAATTCAGTGCTTTTCCCATTAAAATCAGGAAATAAGGGAAACTAATTTTTTTTACTTCTAATTTGTGAACTTCAATAAATATAAAAGCGTAAAAAGTAATGCGCGTTACAGGTTTAGGGCCTTCCTCTTCTTGTGCCCTTGTCTGTATAGTGAACTGTGGAAGCAGACACCCCTTGAGATGACAAGAGTTCTCTGGCTTTCAGGATAAGTTTTTTAAATTGTTGTTCTTATTTTTTTAAATTATTTTGTCAATTAAATCTTAATTATAAAACATGGCTGCTCTCAAATTAATGTTTTCAAACATTGATGTGTTGTCGAGGTCGTATCCTTACAGAAACATCAACCATAAAATGTAATTTAACAATTATTTGGTAGACTCATGACCAGGCCTCTGATTCTGATGACATGTCATCTTTTGATAGGTGCATTCTAGATGTAGCTACTTTGAAAATTAATGCTTATCACAATGTATAGGTGGAGAAATGTAATGTTATTGGGTCATTTTTTGCCAATTTTCAATTTTAGGTTATTTTTCTGGACTTTTCCCATAATTCTTAGGTATTTGTTTCCTTTTTGTGTTTTTGGTTAATTTTATTTAGTATAAAAAAATGTATTTTCCTCTTATTTTTAATTTTTTGGGGGGATTCTTTTTCACTAGTTTGAAGTAATTTTCAAAGAATTTGAGGTCATCAGAATCCAAGCCCTGTTCATAACTATTTCACATTTGGTGATCAACTTTGCATTTTATCAGACTGAAATCCTGCAGAAATATACTTCACTAACCATCAAACATACAATTACTAATATTTTCAGTGTTTGGTAATGTTTTTCATTTTTAGCAATTGCTAAAATCAACCATTTCTAAATTTTCAGTTTGGACCCAAAAGGCAAGGAATTTGAGCAAGGTTAGGAATATAAAATTCCAAATGCAAAATTCAGTATTAATAAGAGGAAAGAAAAAAGAGAGAGAGGGAAAGAGATAATAAAAATAAAATTAAAAAAAGAAAGAGAGAGAAAGAAAGAAAGAAAGAAAGAAAGAGAGAGAGAGAGAGAGAATACAAAATCAAGAATTGGGGATTTATCTACAAGGCGAGGTTTAGAAAATAAAACCATCTTTCTGTATGGGGCAAACGATCTAGAGAGCATCAACTAATTGAATTTGAAGAAATAAAAACTAGAATATGTTTTTCTTGACTCCATGTATTACTCTGAATTTTTAAACTCTATACTGAACAACATAAGAAATGCAACATTGAAAAATGCATCCTACGAAAACTGGTCTGTTGCAATCGCATAAGAAGATGCAACACGACAAAGTGAAAGTCTGTGATTTTTTTCTTTTATAATTATGATTAATATTTTGCTACCCCTTGCTCTGAACACACAAACCTTACACACAACCTACAGCTATTGAAAGTTGGGCTTCATAAATACACAGGCTATGACATACATGTTTGAAATTGCCTCAGATTAACATAGAAGACATTATGAATCTCTCACATTCACTCATTACGATTCTTGTGCACTCAAAACAAGGGGGCTAATAAAACAGTGCACTTATGACTCAAAAATAATTAAAATATTTTTAAAATACAGACTTAATTGAAATATTAGCTCTGTACAGGATAAACAAAAGGTTTTTTTGTTGTTGCTGTTGTATTTTTTTTAATTTATTATTTTTTTTTTGGTGGCTCAGAATTTGGAAGAAATGATCTCATTGAGGCGATAAAGCAGATCCAAACATACTTCCACATTATTTCATTTTATTATTCGTCAACAATACTTTTACGTTATTCTAACTGAAGAGCTATGGACTTCTCAAGACTAATTATTTAAAACATAAAAGAATACATACATATATACCTATATATTTGCATGAAATAAACGTGGCCCATGCACATGGGCAGTTCAGAGTACAGATACTGCTTCCAATAATTTTTTTTTAATTTTTATTTTCAGTCTGGTGTAACACAAATGCAGGTATCAAAATATTTTTCACTGATCAGGCCAACACGTGGAGGAGACAGGATTCAGCTGAGGGACCTGAGAAGTCCATACATTTATACTTATTCTTAATATTAATTATGTACAAAAAGCTATCTGAATCATGAGGTCATCTGGCTGACAGCCATCATCGCAAGCGGTCACACACATGAAACAGCACTGGAAATTAAACCACTCAATGTGCATTATGAAGTAATAATTTACAATCTTTGCATCAGCTTGGAGCTAGTTTTACACTCCTTTTCTCTCATACCTTAGCATTAGTGCTGTAGGGTTATTCACTTTCAATATCCAGTTTCTTCCCATCCCTTCCAAACTATAAATTAATTTCCTTCACTGGAGAACAAATTTTATTTTTGTAAAGGAAAATGGCCTATCTTGAGGTAAAAGGACCACATTCTACATACACAAGTAAAGCCTGCCCCTACTAAGGCCATATGTTCCTTTACAAAAAACCAAACTATTAAAATGATGACCCTTCCCATCTGCCAGTACAATAAACACATTAAGAGCAAGACTGACACCCACTGCAGGTAGTTTCTGACAATACCACCTTGCAGACAATGAACAACTAAGCAGTCTTTGGGCACAGTGAACTGTCACCACTCCCATCACAACTAAAATTCTCTCTTGCTGTTTGACACCAAGCATCTCTGGCTGTCCTGCTGGCCATCAATGGCCTTTTGCCCCTTGTAATTTATTTAAAGAACTTTGAACACTATGAGTCATCAGACATAAAAGAATTCTGAGATTTGAGTTGTTCCAGTGTTTCAATTTGTTGACGTAGAAACAATATCCTGCAACAGAGATAATCAAACATATTAAAACATTAATTTTTAACCGTAAGTTTCTGATGGCCAAATAACATTGGTAATAAAAAACAACAACACAACATTCTGTCTTCCAAATATCTTAACAACAACAACAAATAATAATAATAATAATAATAATAATAATCTTCAAAACACAAATTTCCAAATTATTCTACAATTTACATGTTTTGAAAGTTGATGTGCCATCAGTTTGGATGTAGTGTTGTCACACACTCGTGTGGCAAGCATGCATACTAATCTGATGAACACTCAAATGACAATAAAATCATAAAAAATGGTAGCTCCTACTGGATAATGGTACCTTCTCTCCTTTCAACTTATGATTTGCCCACAGGTAGTTCAAGAGTTCGAATTGTCATGTCTCTCTCAATCCACAGTGAATTTGGTTCATTTTTTAATCTTACTATCAATTACTATCAAAAGTCGGTTTGCTTATTTCCAAAATACAAGTACAGGATTGTAATACGCAAATCTTACAACAAATGATACAAACATATTTTTTTGTCTTTCTAATATACTTTCGAAGAGCAGTGAAACAATTTTATCCCAAGGAATGGAACATATCTCACAGAAACAAGACATGGTCTACTGTACTGCATGCCAAGAGCGCTCCAGCAACAGGCGTTCATCTGCTCCCTCTGCCAACCTATGACTCCGATAACGAAAGGGAGGAGCAAGGACTTCTCTTTGGAACTGAAGACTGGGTGGCCCCACTCTGCACGAATTTGATTTAGTCACATGAATTTTCTAAACATTTCTATTCTGACTGTCATTTCGACCTTTGTGTATAAACATTTTTATAAACATCAACAATTGCTCCACATCGAGCATGCTGAGCCAGTCTATTCACTATCCAAATATAAATACCATAGTATTTAGCATGTCAATCTGATAACTTTACTTCCCGGCTCATTACCTTATACAAACAATGTTACGTTCTCGCCATGCAGACACATCAACTACTTTTCTGACACAACTACTTTTCTTCTTCTTCTTATAATTATTTTAAAGGACGTTTTCTCTTGCCCTAATTTGAATATTTATTAACTTAAAAGTCGCGATCATGATAAAAATTTTAATTTTGCAGGTCGTTTAGTCCGCCTGTACAGGATCTCAGGATTGTGAATTTTATACTTTGTGATTTTTTTGATTTCCAAAAATGTGATTGAGGATACTTTTTACAACTCGACAATAACAAAACTTACTTCGGGATCAATTTTACTTAGCTGTATTCTGTAAAACAGCCATAAATATACTAACAAATTTTTCATTCACACAATGACAAAGAATATAAATTTCAAACAAACATGTACATTTATAACATTTAATTCAATCTGATTATTCTGAATCTCAAATAATTCTTATAATCCCTCCCTTAATGCATGGATGGCTATAGTTTCTCATGTTAATTTAATCTTAATTTATTTGAACAAGACTGTCTTTTACAGTTTTCCAGTTTCAATGATATTCCATTGTTTCAGTCAAATCTGCACTCTTGACTGTCGTAACCAGTTCACTCTGTCACCATTATTATAGTTCCACTCACAAAAATATCAATGTTGACATACATGCTTGTACATTAAACTTACATTAATGTCCCAATCTATTAGCTAATTTATTACTTTGTTACACTTATGCAAGTGTTTGCATTTTACTACTTTCAACCACATTTTCAGTTCAGCTTCAAACTCCTAAGAACCCGACAGTAATATCTTCAGTTTGCAGATCTAAACCTCATAGGTCCTATTACCATGCAGTTCCAGCTTTATCTGACGAGTTTTCCATTATTTGCGCCAGTCTATTGACATCAACAATATTGTGCAAACTGCGCACAATTTCTTCTCTCTTTGTCTGGTCTGCACATCTCTAATTCTCTCTATTCCTATTTGTCGAATTTTTTTTATGGGTCCCACCTGTTTATTCCATGCTTCTGTTGTAATTAATTAATTAATTCGATCTTACTCTCGCGGAAATTGCTCACACGTCCATTATATTTAAATAATTCTATCACATTTTATTTATAATGTCTACATTGTGTGTCGCTCCCTGTCCCAATTGTTGCTTTTGTCATGACTTTCATTTTCCAAGAAATATTATTTCATTCCTCTCATGTATGTATGTATGTATGTATGTGTATATATATATCTATATCTATATATCTATATATCTATATATCTATATATCTATATATCTATA